AAATTGTACTCAACGGTTGTTCAGAGTCACCCCGAAAAAAGTAAACTTCCCGTAACTTTTCACTTATGCGCCCGTCTGTCCATTGAATTCCATGTCTATTTTTCGTGCGCCCGGAGTCCGTGACCTACGCCCCTCCCCTTAACCCGGTCCTACTCGTTTGAATACAATATATTCGTCTGTATTTAAGAACGTATTTTCACGTGTTACTATTATCGTTCAGTTTCTTCGGGTTGTTGTGTCGTTTTCGTCGGCAACAGATCGCAAGAGCAAAAAAACCACGAGTTGCCTTTAAAACCGCTTCTCGTATCCAAAAACATGTGGACGTTGGAAAAACCAGGTCGGGAGGCACACGCGTCAACGGAGAACGGCGGCTGAAAACGCTGATTACCAATTAGGTCGGTATTGTCCGTCCGGATCGTCCTTGATGATGATGATGAGTTCTATTATCCGTATCACGAGAACTCCGTCGATTTGTTTGCAATGGTTGATTAATAAAGGCGACCGACAGATTACCGCAGAACGGGTTAACGGTACACCGGTGCCGAATAATTGTGAACTCTCTCGGCGATTAAACAATACAATTACAACATTAAATTGTTTTTGTTGTGTACGCTCTAAGACACTCGGACAGCGCCGTCTTAATCGGTGCGAATTTCCCGTTTTTTGTCGCGAAATCGGACAGTGCTCGTGGAGTTATCTGTCCATCTCTTCTCTTAGCGTACTGACACGCTTTTGGACGTAAGCGTAAAAACATTCCGTTCCGTGTGTATTCACAATGGCTTTGTGTGTCTCGTTATAATACACCGCTTTACCTACATATACGTTGTAAAGTATAAAATGTATACATATAACAAGACGCATCGACATTCGCCATATGAAGTGCTCACGTTGCAGTGGTGTCTAATGATATAACACAGTCACCGTGTCCGTCCGAAGAGTAACGTCAGCCGCACACGCTGGTCTGCCGCCACTGCGGCCTAGCACGTGGCTTAGCGTGCGCCGCCAAATTATATTATACGATACGACTAACAATAGTCGTCTGTTTTTGAGGTATCGGATATCGGCACGCTGGAAGACTAGACGATGTACCTGGTAGCCCAATGGCGACTACATTCGCCGGCTTACGATGTTTCCAACTCGACGAAAGTGAATACAATGGTGTTATTCATCGTGTCTAACGCCGACAACATTCTAAAGCAATACAAAGATTCTGTGTCCAATCAATCAGCGACCCTTAGCCGTCGTTTCGGTATCCAACAAAAGAATCCAACGCATAAATAAAAAATTGAGGAAACGGGAGCAAAAAAAAAAGGAAAATCACGAAATGAATTTTATTTATTTTCATACGCATTTTGAATAGCAAATAAAACGTTCATTTAGTTGTTTCTCGTAATAGTAAACCGTTTACAGCAGTCATCAATTGAGCGATAAAAACTTTGGTGGTGATAAATTACTCGGAAGTATTAATTTTACTGTGTTAGTCTTAACAAATTTTAAGAAACTTTTAGTAAAACTCTTGTATCTGATAAAATGAAATTACATTTTTAATAAGATAAAATGTCGTTACCCAGTAAAATCATAACTTGGTAAAATTGAAAATTGAATAATTGAAACAGTAATAATAAGAATCTAGTTGAATCATATCGCAATTTAAAAACGTTTAGGTTTGATTTATGCAGACAGATAACTGACCTTATACAGACAGATAACCGGAGACATGCTAGATGACAAAATATTTATTTAGTTGGCATATTCAGAACACGTTTTCATTTAAACAAAATTTTGTGGTCATATAAAAAAAAGTCAGTCAGTAAATTCACAGTTTTCACAATCTCCACGTGTATTTTTTTGAAATCATTTTTGGGTTGGGTTTGCGGTCAAATGGGATGGGATCAGTGGGATAGATACCCCCTTTGACATACCTTTTTTGACATTTTTGTACAATTTTCATTATATATATATATATATATTATATTTTGGATGTTTTATAAATGATAATTTAATTTAAAAGTTATTGAGCAGAATAAATACAAATAAATGATTAATCCTATAAATTTAGGAGATCCAATTTTAAATTTTGATTATCATTTATACGAGGTACAATTGTAAAACAAATTAAATATTTGAAAAAGACTTAATAAGAAAAAAGATACTTACACATAACTAATAATCTTTTAAAACATCTTGGTATGAAAAACTCTGGTGTATGGGAGCACAGATCCAATTAGGATATTTATCATAAAGGTTTTTCATTACTTTTGTGTCAGAATCATTTGATCATCACGTTTGATTGATCAGTTATGTCTTCATTAAATTAACACTGTCAGTTCATAGTTTTCAAGACTACTAGATAAACAGGAAATTATTTTTAACTATTTAAAAAACGTTCAAAGAGAACAAAATGTGTTATAATAATACAGGCTAATGAATAAAAAAGTTTTATAGAATATGTGTTTTTCCAGCGAAACATATTCTATATTTATAAAATTCTAATATTCATTAAATAATAAAAACCCTTTTGAATTTTTTAATTTTAATAATATTCTGAATCCTCATAATGTATTAAATATCAATATAATTCGATAAAGTTTTACTGTAAAATGTTTATACAAGAGTTACATTTTATTTAAAGACTATTCATCGATTATTTGCTAGCGTTAATATAAATTTTGTTACAATTTTTTAATTGCATCAAAGCGATTTTACGATAATATTTTTTATTTGAATGACTATCAAATTATATTCCTTATCGATTTCAACTTTCCTGAATTCCTACTTTAGTGAACTATGAATAAAATTAATTTTTGTACATTAATTCAAGACGGAATGAAGTATTCATTTTCCTTATTTTGTAATAATCAATGTGTGAGAAGTATAGTTATGTACTAAATTATCCCTTCTAGTTAATAGTATCAAAATCAGAATTTTTCTTTTTTTTTTCTACGTAGAATAATGTTTTGATTTACAAGCAAAAATAATATATTATGTACAAAATGTAGGTCAAAATTAAAACACATAAAAATTAAATATGATTGTTTATGAAGCTTTCTGTTAACAAGTCGTATTACTATTTTCACATCAATAATCTAACGATTAAACTTATAAAACATAATATTAAATATGACACTATTATTTTACATAAAAACTATAAAAATCCTGGAGTAAGATTATTAAAAAGCGGTTTTATTTTTAATTTTTTTTTTTTTAGTAAGACTAAAGGTTTCAGTCTCAAGATCCGGTTTTATTTTTACCTAGTATTTTTTAAATACATCTTGAACTTATAGCAGTGGCGTAGCCAAAGGAGGCTAAAGGTGCTCCATTGGCCAATTATTACTATTAACACTATATGACTAGACTAATAGTATGTGATGAACAAAAAAAAATATTTAATCCCCCCACAAGCTTAAATCCTTGCTAAGCCACTGACTTACAGTAATTGTATTAATTACAATTCACACACATTTACCATTAATTGTTATAACGAGTGTAATAAATTAATATTTTAAACACGCGACTGCTCAAATTACCTAGGCGGTCGAACGATCACATCAAATTTTATTACTATCAATATAATTTGCTATATAGACAGTTATGATTGCAACCGACACGTCTACCTGTATATTTAGAACATTCAGCATAACAACTATGATGAGCTGCCACTGTCATGAAATATATATATATATTATTAACATCATTGTATAATGAAATATTCTTCGTCGGTTTAATAAATTATAAACAGCAAGTCGATAATTATAATTAATGATTTTATTCTTGATTATTTTTGTTTATTACAATTGGTACCATTTTAATGAAAGACTTATTCGTGTTAACGAAATACCTTCACAAGTTATACATTATAATACAGTGTATTTAACTGAACAGAACGTTATAAATGTCTGTGACAAGGGTCAAAAATGACAGCAGCAATTGTCCAACACTGAAACACTTCTAATAAAAGTAGAACAATCTGATATAAATAAAAACGAGATCAGTTTCATTTTTAATTAAAATTAATTTTGTATTCTTTGTCGTTTTAAGAGTAATGAGCAATTTTATTAAACAGTAGAAATTTTACGGAAAACTACTTTTGTAAAGCTCATCATTAAGTTTTATGAAAACACGACAATTTATATTGTTGTATTTTTAATATTACGTGGTATTTCTTGGCATAAGTAATCGAGAAAAGTATTTTAATTTCTATTTTATAGTTTGGAGATTTCTATGCAGTTTTTAACGCGTATAAAATGTAAATGCAAAATTTTACTTGGTATATAAACGGTTTAACTGGGTAAATGTATGACACGCTCATTGACATACCAATTTATTGTATTTTCAACAAGGGTGTCATATAAAAACTGAATGAATCATATGTGAACAATTAAAATAAGAACTATAAAAATTTCGTTTTAGATATTTTACGACTAATCAAGACAACAAGATAAACCATATTTTCTATTGATGACAAGCCATCGACAGAAAGAATTAATGTAAACATTTATATTTAATGTATTATGTTAATGAATATGTTATTTTCATGAACGACACAGCAATAAAAGCAAAATTATCTTCTGGACCGAAAAGTGTACAAATTACCTGCATAATTTTATTTTAATGTTTTTTTCAATGAATACGCAATTTAAATATTATAAATGTTACTTTGTGGAAACTCACAGTGTACATTAACACCTTAACCGGTTTCCATTCACGTTGAAACTCAGGTCAACGATAACAGCAACAGCGTTATCAAAAAATCTGATTAAGCATTCAAAATTACAAAAACGATAAAAAATTAATTTAAAGTTATTCAGATGATGTAGTTGAACTTCAAAAAAAGCCCTTAATAATAATTCATCAATAAGAACCTTAGACTAAGTTTTTAAAAATTTGATTATTTAAGCAGAGATTTTACTGAATTCAAAAATGCATTTAAAATACTTGTGCAGCAATCAACTAGTGTTTTATTTCAATACTTGTATTTTATTGATTTGTTTATTTTTTAGGAATGAGAAATTTAAACAAACTGTTGTTGGGTGCGTTGCTTATACTGTCGACTTGGCTGAAGAGCAATGCAACTAGTGCAAGTGACGACCCAACAAACCAATCACACTCGCGGAAGAAGCGATTGATTTGGATCACCACAGACGGTCGTTTGGCTCTACCGCCTGGCACCAGACTTACCATAACACCGTCGTTATCTCTTCCTTTTGTCAGGTATCCTCCAAACGGATTCCTATCAAACATGTCAATCAGTCTTCCTTTTACAAGTCAGTATTGTGTTATTCTGTAAACGAAATTTTTGTATCGGTGTACCATTAAAAAGTGTAACTTTTCAATTTAACTTAATTTAAAATCTTTATGCAGAAAAAAAAAAATTAATTAATTTAATACTAACAGTGGTTCAAAAATAACACCACATCATACATATATCGTTATAGCAAATAATATATTAAATGCAATTAAAAAGAATCAACACATTTTTTGCCAAAGGTTAACACGAAAAGTTTGTCACTTCGCTATCCACAAATGTCCACCAATGTATGACATCCTCCGTTTCAAACTATTTAATTGGAACTATTACTTTTTGAAATTTCACACTTGGAAATATTTCACTAGGATATTGATTTTTATGTTTTTTTTCTTTTGCAGTTGACTTTGACGCTCTTGGATTAACTGATAACCAGAATCCTTTTGGAGCATTTCCTCCTTTGCTGGCCAGAAGTATGGGCAGACAGGCCGGTTCGGTACTAGCAGATTATGTTGCTCAACTAATGGGAGGTCGAAGATCAACCAGATCCGTGCCAAACTTACCCAAGCCAATACACTCATACTTTCAAGGAGGAGAGAGGTATTTCTAAACTTAATTAATACATATGTTTTTATGGATTTTTTCCATAGAACTGTAAAATAAACTGGTACGTAAAAATAAAAAATATATAAACTTGTGTTCTAACACTTTTAACTAATATACGCGATCAAAAATATTACTTTAAACATACAAAATGAAAATAATTTTTATTCGCTATAAAATACTTAATTGTAATGCGTAATTAAATTATTGTTTATACTAATAAGTGTCTACAGGCATTTTATTTATACAAAACATAGTTCTAGATATATATACATTTTTTTTTTTTTTTTAATAACTTCAACACAAATAAAATAAAATTAACGATGATTTGTTTAAATTAGTTGTTTAACTATTTCAAAACTTTTATGTTGTAAAAGTAGAATTTTGAGATTTCTAGATTTATTATAAATCTGGGTTCTTAAAAAAAAAGTCTGTTTAAAACATAAATAAACAATTTAAAGCATCCCGTAAAACCAATGTAAATTTTGGCATTTTTGATTTTTTTAACAAGCAGTTTTTAAAACGTAACAACCTTGTTGTAAACAAGAGTAGACTGTCCCTTTGATTCACAATATTTTCCCATCACAAGAAATGCCTTACATTATATAAATTTAATGAAAAAATATACAGATAAATTTTACTCAAAAAGTTACACTTCCAGTCTGCGAAAATAATATGTATTTGTTATCACAATATTAATAATAATAATACATTTATTTACAAGATCAATTAAGGATAAGACACTTATTTACCAGAAACTATTGAATGTTTTCAACCATAAAATTAGTTTACATTTAAAAATTCATCATTAAATTAGATTGTTAATACGGAAGGCAGCGATGTTTCTGCGGGTCATAAATTATTATCGGTATTTATTATTTCTATAGTAAGTGACAGATATGATAATAATAACTGTCAATAAAAACTCGTTTATGCGACAGCACGAAAAAATTACGACTACTATATGCTAAACAGCAAACTATCAATAGAAAATTAGTCAAAAATCGGAAAACTTAAACAAGCAATAACAAAATAATCATTATCATCAAATAAAAAATGTTATAAGAAAAAAAAAATTTTTCTATTTGAACTAAAAACAAATGTTTCCCAATTAAATTAAACTTAAGATTTTCTAACCTCGGAGGGATAAAAAAAAAGATTATTTAACTACATGATTTTGTAATTTTTTAAGCCAAACAATATTTTCCTATACGAGAACTGAAGATGTTCAATGGCCTCCAAGAAAACAAGTGTCTTGTCCTTAACGAATCACTCTGTATAATTAGTTACTTATCGACGACATTTTTCGTAATTAATAATGTTAAACAAAACGTGCGGTTATCAGGCGCACGTGAGTCACGACACGCTCATAACCTTATAAGTGTATCAAATAAATAATATCATGTTTGTGTAAAGTCACACAATTGGACCACAGACGAGTCGAATTAGCAGCTTCCGACCGCAACTTTTCAACTAACACAAACCACCGCGTAAACTTTTGCGCGTTCTTCGTTATTTTTGTTTCTAAACTCTGAAGTTAACACTTGTCACTTAATTGAGTTTATTGTACTGGTAAATACATGATCTACAGTACGGGCAAAGTTGTTGACGTATTGATTGATGTCGTTAGGCTGTCAATTCAAAAACGTCATCACGTAATACTAAAAATTGAAGACTGCTTTTTAGGCTTCAATAATCTAGTCGAAGAACAGCTAAAACCTAATACAAATAATAGTAATCGCAGCACACACGTGAAACAGCATATGCCAAGTGACGAGGAAACTGGATAACTTATGAACTGAATGTTAACATTTTATCACGCGAATATGATGATTTAATTCGTGTAACTTGACATATAATAATTTCCAAAGAGTCTTTAGCACCTCAGTGGCCACACGAGTAATTATGTTGACGACCAGTTGTGAAGAAAACTTCAGAAAATTCGTCCAATATGGATAAGTAGTAATTGCGTTTTCGCGAGATTATTTTATGTTCTCTGAATGAAAATATTTAAACATTAGCTTAGGTGCCACAAATATTTTCATTATTTTTCATGTCAGTCGCCACATTGTTTATTTTAATTGCGAGTTATGTTACGAGTTTGTATTCGCACAAGTAATTGACAGCTGTCGACTGTCAACTAATATCTGTTTGTATTGCGAAAAATTCACACTGTGAACTGTAATGATTATGATTTACTGGAAGGAGTATCGATGAAATTTACAATATCCAAAAGTGTTACTGAAACATCCATTTCATGTATAAAAACAACTCGATCGATTTCGAACAGAATGAGAAAAATCGTTTCGATTTTATCTGCAGACGTGTTATAGAATTAAAAAATTATGTTTAATTACATTTGTCAACAAATTAATTAATAATTTTATTTATAGGGCACTATTGTACTCTGTAGTTGAAGATTTATTGGCCAATTTTGGTATGGACGGAAAGGCTTGTTTGTTACGAGCCATCTGTGAAGTTCACGGCCACCAAGCCATTCACAAGTTCGGATTCATCGGCGAATTTCTGCAATTGTTCCTCACGTTAGTATATCGTAGATTTAAATAATTGCACTTCTTAAAACGGATCTCGATAAAATATAGCAATTATTCGATCAAATGTTAATAGGTCACTACGGAAAACTACATCATTATTAAGCGTGTACAACATGTATAATTAATGATGATAAGTCCCAACTTCTAAACCGGAAACAATATAAACCTGCATACTAAACTAATACATTTATATTAATACTCGTGAAACCACTTGCTGGAATTACACACCTACTAAAACTGCAATAAAGTTGTTTTTTTGTTAGAGTCAATAAATAATAACGATAATTGTGTTTCTATTGATCGTTGCAATTTAAGTATCTTGAACATATTATTCTTATTTAAAATCATTATACTGAATCAGAACAAATAGTGTTTAATGTCGTTCTTCGGTAATATCGAATTGACACAATACATTCATTTACTATGAAATAAAATTATCAAGTTTATTTTTTCTATTAACTTTAAAACATTAATGATTTACTAAGAGAAAATGCTTTTAAGTAATTTTCGAAAGAAATTCTCGTTGAAAAAACGAATTAAGTACGTCGAATCTCAGATAAAAATGCGAATTTCTTTGTGTCTAATAACACATTTTAGTGCTCAGAATAAACTTTGTTGGGTCGTCATTCATCATTTATGACTTGATATTCCGAAACCTTTAAAGAAGAACCTTTACAATACCTTTAAAGAAAACTTTAAAATTTAATACTCTTTGAAATATTTTTTTTGATTAAATATTTTCACAAACTTTGTGTCGTTTTCAATTTTCTATCAGTCAAAACAATAACTTTTAGCTTCAGTTTAAAATTACAACCCTCAAAGTAACACAGTAAGCATTTTGTAACACAGTATTACACTGCATCATTTTCTCTTATTGTCATTTATTTTATACCTTACAGGTCTCCATATTTAACATGCTTTATTACTGTGTTGTCAAAGTTGCAAGCATGTAACTTATACTGTTTTGCTCACAGCATTATTATATTCGTACTATATCGGTTACACAATAATAATGAAACGAGAACAGTCTCTGTAGGTCATTTGATATCTCATAGAAATTAGCAGTGGAGAAATGCGATATGAAAAGTATGCAATTATATGTTACAGGGCTAGCAGATCATCGTATGCCGATTTAATGGAAGACTACGTGACCGCTGAGTCAGTGGGCAAGAACAGTAAAGAATGTTACCCCTACTTCAAAGAATGTCCGAAGTCGCTATTTACCAACAATCACAATTACTCGTAAGACTATGTTACATATTATTATCTTCGGTTATTTTATACATTTTTGCTATCGATCCGATTCCTGTATTGACAGTTTGTCAATGACAAATTATATTTTTCCCGTCGTAGTTAAATTGTAAATATTCGACGATTTAGTTACATAGGCAGTCAAAAATAATTGAAACAAAAAAATGACACGGTGTTTAGTTACTTCAGATGATTACAGATATTTTTTACGGTTTCCCCTTCCAACTGTTAAACGTTGGCTGATTTTCTTGGCCTAACTGTTTGGATAGACAGTGAACGGAATTATTACTCAATTTAATTGATAAAACCAAAACTTAATAGAAATACTCATGAACTATTTTCAATGTTGAGAATAAGTTTTTCAATAGTTTTAATAAATTTTGGGGTATTAAAAAGTTGTAATAGTTTCCTTAGAACGAATACAGTCACATAATAATCTTCATCTGAATATTTTTTTTGATTTTCTTTTTAACTGCAAATAGTTTTAGTAGTACTATTTTCAGTAACATATAGAAAGTTAGTCCTATGAACTTTTTCGCTCAAAATATATTTAAGTTTTTTTTTATAAATTCATAACTATTAAATACACGTTTTGTCTACTAACTTGTTCCAAGTCAAACGCGTTTCCTAATTATTTTTATGTAGAAGAGCCAATCGTATTCTCTGATCTCTTTTAAGCCGTCGTACCCAACTATAATACTTGTCACGGANTTTCCTAATTATTTTTATGTAGAAGAGCCAATCGTATTCTCTGATCTCTTTTAAGCCGTCGTACCCAACTATAATACTTGTCACGGAAAAAAAACCTTTTAATTCTTAAAGAGTTAATATTTATAATTGGAACTCAGTCTTCTTCAATTATGTTTCCTATTAGTTTCTACACTGAAAACGTAACAGTTACATTATGAATGTAATACGTAAAAAATAGAAAAATAGTTTGAAACTTGGCAATAAATTTCAAAAACTAAAATAAAAATTTTTGACTCAGAAAAAATTTGTATAATAACTTCTCTTCAAAAATAATTTATAAAAATGTTTGGATGTTTTAGTCGGCAGTATAGCGTGTAAATAAATAATTGAGGCACTCTTATAAGTGTTTTATTGTTACAATTAACATTAATAATTTATTTGGGTTAACTAACAAACAATTTCAGTAACTATAAAAAAAATAATAAAGAATGAAAAAATTGTAAGGACATAACTGTTGTCATAATTGAAATATACATTTTTTTTTTTTTAATGTCAATTTTAAAATAAAAAATATTTGTCTAGACATTCGTAGATGAACAAATAACGTGAGATTAGACTATTGCAATGAAAGTTTTTGATGTCGACTAATAAAAAATAAATGTCACGTATGAAATAAGTTTTGAAAATGTATTACAAATTATTACTTTCAATTCTTTTAATACACCCTCTGAAGCTTTCAAATGTATATAGATATAAATATCCAACCAAAAAAATTGTTTTTAGCATCATCATATTTCATTAAAAAAAAACTTTGGCCTACTTTTTTTCAATATAAAATAACCGAATAAAGACCAATAACACATTGATCAATTTAACTTGGTTGTACAGTTTTTTTCTTCGATGCGAAGGTATTGATGATCATTTTATCAAATATAAAAACGTATACCTTATGTATATAAAAATATTTAAAACAATTTCTTTGGTTATAACTAATTGATGGTTAATTAAAGTTGTTTAAAATTGATTTTTACACGAGACCATATTATTGAAGACTAGATTTTAAAAATCAATACTACTAAATGATAATTAATTATCAAAAAAAAAAATGCATATATTTTATTAGTATTTTTGTCATATATGATACCTGTAAATACACTAGTGGTAATAAGGATAATAACTTAAACATTTTACATTTATTTTATGCTTTTTTCATCGATTAAAATGATTAGTAAACTAATAAATACAATGATTTCATACACCAAGAATATAATATACCTCTAAGACCTATTGTATAAACTATTGCTGACTAGAAAATAATTCAGATTGTTAATAAAATATTCATTTTATTGTATTCAAAACGGTTTCGGACCACTATTATGTTTAACATTTCAACTTATTCTTTGAGCGGTTAATAAACGTAACTAATCTATTACATTTTAAATAAATTACAGTAAAAACGAAGAATGGTCACCGGACGAAGAAACTGCGGAAACAGTTGATGCAGATGTTGACGATGATCAGGCTAACAAAATAACAGAAGACCAAAATGATTCGAAGAGCGGTTCATCAAAAGTGACGTTGGCCCCAGAACCAATGGCCATGTAATACAATTAGTGTCCACTAAAAGTCGTTTCAATTATTATTATTATATTAAATTTATCTTTTGTATGGGAAAAATTGTTGCAAGTCTTCTTGGCTTTGTATATTTTTTTTTTTGCTCTCCTACCAATTCGTGCGTGGCCAACAAACGTTTTGGTATGTAATCGTCGTATCGCCTACTGCATCCGAGCACTTACTAGTTCTATCATATTTATGTTATTCCTAGATTTAAAATAGAAAACCTTTGCTAAAAACGTAATATCCACTAAACAATACAGTTAGATCCATAAGAGTCATATGTATTATATATTTTTACAAAATTTTGCTTACCTTGATTAAGCGTGACAAACAATAGTATTTTTCTACGGCACAATGTTTAAGCGAATTTCAATAAAAATGTAGTGACAATAGGCCATAGACGATGACCAATCGTAATAAACTATCATCTTCTAGTTGGGGTTATCTCGTATATTTTTGTAATAACATTTTTCATTCGTTTTCAACAATAGAAAATCATAAAACTAGAACTAGTTATCACCAATAAGTTTATTTTACCATCGCACAAATTATTAATTTCAATTTTTAATTACTATTTTTTGATATGTAAACAACACATGTTTAATTACAAAAAAAAACACAAACAATTTTTTTTTTTAATCTTAAAATAATTATTTGTTCTATTACTTTTGTTATATTACCTAAAACTATATAAATTAATTGAATGAAAATTGGCGGCGGGATTAGGTTATTTAAATTATAATTATATACATAACCAAAGGGCATCCTCGGGGGAAGATACGAGTTAAAAACTTCCACGAAAGAACTAACTTCGAATTTAGTATAAATTTTAATTTTGACTTGAGGGATAGTAAAACATTTCCTGAAGTTTTCTCTTCCCTTGAAAAATTCTGAAAACGCCATTCACAAAACCCAGTTGTTTTTAATGATTAACTAAAATTGGTTTTCCATAATATTTAAACCAATTTCATCAATAATTTATTTGGTATATTATACAAGATTAATTATCTATAATACCTAATATTATGAATTTTTACAGAACAATATTCATTGGACAACTTAAAAGAGTATTATTAGTAATGTAATCGTCTAAATAAATTACTAATACATATATAAATTATTAAGAGAAAAATATTTTTTCTAATATTTCTACCATTCTATAAATAAATTGATCTTTTGATAGACAGCCGTAATTTTTAGCATCAAAAGACACCCAACTATTAAAAATATTTGCTGTTGAAAATGGTTTAATTTACATAATCTTTCCGGCGATTAGTTAATCAGTAAACTTGTAAAATTTTATTTATTTATTTGTAATGTATGATTCCCACAAACGGAACAAGAAGAGGACTTAAAATTTTCTTCAATTTTTATAATTTGAAATAATTTTTATCTTCTCTTTTTGTTTTGTTTGTAAGTATTGAAAAAAAAATGTATAGTGTTAGTTTTAAACAAATTGTAGTTATTTACTATTGTAGATAATCTCATATGAATTATTGTCAATTTTAGAAATTAGGTTGTGCCATTTATAGTTTAAATTAATTGGTTTTAATTTTATCATGCTGATATTTATAACTATTTCTGTAGATAATAAGATTAGCCATGTAACTTACCTACCTTGTTGACTTATTGTAATAAATTATACATTTGGCCAATTTATTTAAATGTGTTCATTATTTATCTATACCTAAAAACAGTAGTTTTAAGCTATCGCTACACTCTTAAGATAGTCCTCATGTTTAATCCTGTTCTGATTGAAGATCAATAGTATTCATTATAATTTTTACCAAATCTTGAAAATACTAAATTCTGTAATATTAAAATAACAAAATTGATTTAACACATTTGATAGAAGATTATAATTTATGATTGAACATGATTATGTACACAAATTGTCTTATTTCATTTGTATAAGTAATTAAACTTTAAATAGTCTTAAGGAAACACCAAAAGTTTAAATGAAGTTCAAAAGTAATTTATATTTATTTTATAATTATAAATAAAATTAAAATTAAAATATAATAAAACAATAAATTTAAGTATAAAAATTTATTTTTGTTTTTTAATGTTATTTAATTTTATTGATACCATCATCTTGTTGTTTTTGATACTTTACAGCTTTTAGAAGTGCGGTTAAAAATTCATCAACACCATTACATTGAGGTTCCCTAATATAAATAGAATGAGCTATGAAAGTTAACTTTTTAAGCACTCTTCCACTCAACCCAACACTCTCTCTAAAATATAATAAAATGAAAAATAATATTTATTTCAATAAAATGAAACTATAAACCTTCATCATACTTTGAAATTTCAAATAACTTTTGAGTTACTGAGAGAGGATTATTATTTAAAATAGTTTTTCCTGGATGAAGCCGATCAAACTTGTCATTTTCAGTTACATTAACAATCAAATTAACCTAAACAAATAATTTTAACAAAAATAAAACAAATCATATTATTTATTAAATAACAAAAAAATACTCTTATAAGTTCTTCTATTGCCGATTTTAATATTGTATAAATAGCCATTTCTTGAGGTGGGTTAATGAGCATTTTTATATCAGCTCTATCAGTAAAAGCTGTATCAATTGCTTCAGTTACATTAGATGTTGTTAAAAATATAACATTGGAATATCTAAAAAATATATGTATTAAAAAATAATATGACTAAATTAATTTAGTAACAACAAACACAAATGTCATAATATTAAACAATCAAATAACAAATATTTTTACTTTTATATTATATTATAATGTAATTAAGAAGTAAAAATAATTTTTAAATAAGAGTCAAACAGTTTAAAAATAATTAAGAACTTTTGTGTATAAAATAGATTAATTTTTATTAAGTTAACAAATCTAAAAATGGTTTATCTCTGATTGAACTTTATATTAAACTAAAATTTTATTATGGATATAAAATTAAATTTGATAACTTGTTAAATGATTTTTATAATTATTATTAGACGTTATACATAAAAAATATAAGTTTGTATTGTTTACTTGGAAAATTGTTTCAAACTGAATACTTAAAACATACTTTCTAAGATTATCTAATTGAGTAAGAACAGCATTAACAACTCTAATAGAATCTGATGGTTCTGTACCGGATAAAACTGCATCACGAGCTCGAGTTAAACTTTCTACTTCATCAATTAATATGAACACTAATGAGTCACCATATTCTAATACTTCTCGGATTTTTTGAAACATTGACATGACTAATGAACCACTCTAAAATAATAAGAGTACATTGACTTAAATTAATTATTATATTAAATATATTATTATCTAATAATTACCTCAGAAAAGTATTTGGATAGTAAATTATGACTGTTTATTTCAATAAATTCAAAAAAGCTATACTGTTGATTTAATCGTATTGATAGCTTCTGAGCTAATGCTTTACAAATAGATGTTTTTCCTGTACCTGGTGGGCCATGAAGTAATATAAGGCGGTTATAACTTATTATATTTGTATTAACATTATGACGTGCAAAATTCATTCCAGTTTGAGCATAATGCATAAGCTAAAAAAAATTTAATTTAAGTTAAGTTTAAAGGTTCAACAGTGTCAAATTATTGAACTTTTAGTTTAGTTTCTTTATTTAATCGAAGATATAAGAAATTTAAAACAAAACAATTCCTTACAGGGAACCATTTACCATTCAGTCATAAAATATGACTATAAAAACCATATTACACTCAATCTGTTTCTTTAGATTGTCATAAAAAAAGGATATATGATATATTTTATAACTGTTAGAATGGTAGTTAAATCTTATTTGAGTTCAATAATAGATATTCAGAAATTACATACAATTTCTTTGATTGGTTCTTGAAATATTAATGATTCCCAAATACCACAAAAGTCTACATTAGGTAATATACAACGTCTCATTTTACATGTGTTATCTTCACTAGTGCCATCATCTGCTAAAACACTATCATCTAACTTAAAAAAATACACCTTGACTGTATATTCATTGAGATCTAGTAGAAAATCTTCCTCCTGAAAAAATGATGACCATTTATTTTTATGACATAAAAATAAATAAAATAAAAGTTGTAACCTCCTTTTTTGTTAACTGATTATCATTTCCTATTACATTTTCAATCTCACAAATTTGTATTTGTTTGACATATTCAGTAACTAATTCAATAGAAAATGTATTATGAATTGATTCAGGAACAATAGATTTTATAGTTTTTAGTTCAAGTATAACAGCTTTTTCTAATTCTGGTTTATCAGCAACCCTAAAAAAGATATTAATTTTCAAATATGTAGGTATTACTTATACTTAACAATTATCTATGATAATCATCAATTGGAGATCTTCTATACAAAACATTAATAACGCATCAAAAAATACTTACTTTTCAGTCTTTAACAATACTTCAACATGCAATGTATTTTTCATAATTGGAAACACTAAACTAAAATACTATTATTTGTAACTTAGATAAATAAAATAAAAGAATAATATAATATAACGAGGAAAATTAAAGTAAGCAATAATATTTATTAATTTTATAAAAACATAAACGTCAAAGGAACAAAAAAGTGCCACAAGTTATTTTCACGAACAGTTACCGGTATTCCAAGAAACGAGCCCATAAAATTCAAATATTAAGATAAGAAATGATAATAACGTGATAAATGTAACGGAAATATTATTCAAGGAAATTACAAATAAAATATAATTACCAAATTAAAATATTTTTTTTGATACATGTATTAATAATTGATTATTTTATAAAAAGATGAAAAACTTGTATTTATCTTTTAAACTTTAACTCGATATCTATTAAAGAAATGTAAAATACTAACAAACAATATAATTGCGTGATCAATATTATTAGAACTGGGTTAAGAAAATTTATTAGGGATTTGAACCTACGAATCCAGGACTAGAACTAGAACTAAACTTTTTGAGGCAAATTATACAAAAATTTTCAAATGAATAGTTCGTTAAAAAAATATTACGAATAAAAAAATTGATCTTCAATTTATTTATAAATTTATGACTAGAACTTAATTGCACAAAATTGTTGACAGCTTTTTAAAGCTGATTATTTGTCATAGAGGAGTGTACTAATCTTTCTAAGATTCAACTCTGCCCAGGGTCCAACACTATAAGTACCTGACGTGCAAGGCACACGGATGCTGAAGTTCACTATTTAAAACCCTAAAAATGCTTCATTGACAGTTAAATGTTTAATTTTTTAAGACTCATACGTGTAACTTCTAATTAGCTTGAGGAACCCTTATTAAAAAGTACTCTAAGATCTTCGTAGATTGCCGAACAGCTGGGTTGGTCAAGCCGACACTTTTTTATGAATTTAAAAATAGAAAGATTAAATTTAATAAATGACAATAAAATATTAATAATACAATGGTAATGCCAGTAATAAAATTGATATTTAATGTTAAGTCTTACAATGATGTTATCATTTCGTAAATCATTTTTTTCATTAAATTTATTTTATGACATCGTCTTAGCTTTCCATAAAAAAAAAATAGCATTTCTTTTGTTATCTATTTAGTAATTATTTAAATTTAAAATTTACCTAAAATACAGAACGATCGATTTATTATAAACCACTCGATTACTCACAAAATAAATACAATATAAAAAAAAAATTTATTTCTTTTAGTTACATATAATTCTTAATTCAAAGTAATAACTCGAAGTGAGGGGCGATTTCTTCTATTTGTATCACTAGTTATTTCTCGACTTCGTCCCAGCTATAAAATGCGAATAACTTGCGAACTACTAATCCAAAAATTGTTATCGACCAATCATTTTCTTATATAACATCATGATCTATTAAATAGGCTAGTTTTAATGTAAAAAATGCTTTTTTAAATAAAGTTGACAGCTTTTTAAGTTTTAAACGATAATTATAAAAAGTAATTATTAGCTGATAGCGGCGTATTTATTTACAGGCAATATAGGCAATTGCCTATAGTGGCATATTTAAGGGCGGCAAATATTGAAGACAAACAAATTTATAAAAAGCGAGTTTTTTTTTTATTGTTGTTAAGACATATTGTCTTCCTAATAATTATCATAATCGTTTTCATTTATTGTGTATTTATGATATGTATATTAATAGTTACAAGCAATTTATTTTATGATTTATTAATAAACATAGATTTGCTTGGAAAATATTTTTAAATACTTTTTATTTTGAGGTAGAATTAGTGGTATTATTGCAAAAATATCTATAAATGAGCCCCTCTGTCATAACATAATGAAGGGCGGCAAATTTTTAAATGCCTATAAGCGGAAATTATGTGAATACGCTCCAGTTAGCTGATAAATCAAGAAATATATGCAACTAAAATAAAACATTACTTTTTTATTTAATAACGTATTTATTTTACGAATGATGAATGATAAACCGATTACTCTGTGTAATAGCACAAAATACTGGTTGGTTGAATTATTAAGACTAAATATTTATCGACAATAAATTATGTATAAATTTATATTTATATATTTTTTCAATTTACTCTGAAGTCGTGTTAAGAGAAAGATGCCATACGATTGGCAATATTTTATCGTTTTAGTCAGAAAAAAATTTCAATGTTTGATGATGTTACAAAAAAAAATGAAAAATTCACAAAACTTCAAAAAAAATTAATCTTTGCATAAAAATAACTTTATCATAATCTTTAATATTTTTAATTCCTAACGGCTCTACTCTCCCCTTCAAATTTATACTGAGAACAAATTTTAGTTGTTCCCTTCTTATAAGGTCGGATTAAAACCTATATGGCCCCCCCTATGGATAATATTGCTATCATAATAAAAAATTAGTAAAAAAGGAAACCAGAAAAACTGTATGTCACAATTAGGCTAGTAAAATTGTTGATGGGCTATTAAGATTATGGGTACCGAGTCGTTCGTTCCCCTTATTCCGGGACTGCATCCTTAAAATGTTAAGTATATTTCCAAATAAAAACATGAAAATTATTTGTAATTTAATGTTGAAGTTATTTTTTTTAAAGGGAAAATTAGTATTAGTATGTCTTAAAATATTGTAAAAATTATGCCCAGTATAAATTATGTTCAAATTTAAAAATGTATATATTTAATTTTTAACAAATTTTTTATGTAGATATTCTAATTTTATAATTTAATATGTTGTAATACTAATACTTTCCTCAATATCGCCAAGGATACACCAAGTAAAAATTAGTATTTATAAATTACATTTTTAAACAAATTTTAAGTAAATCTAATAGAACTACTAGTACACACTAAATTTAATACATATCCTTTAAGAAACTAATATGGTTTGTTCAACTTCTAATGAGTTAAGGAATAAAATGCAATCACAATTAAAATGGAATGACATTAATAATTTTAATAAGTATGTAAACAAATGTTCAAATAATACTCTATGAACTAAATGTATTAATTAATAATTTATACATTTTAATGAAAATATTGTTTAATTATATTAATATTTGAAAAATTTTTCAGACATTTGAATGACTGTGGTAAGAACAAGTCATTTTGTAAGGATTTTATTGAAGTAAATTTACATCCAACTACTTGTAATGAGGTGAAGGATGAATGCAAAATTTCATGTTCATCCAACAATCCATTGGAAAGAATAATGAATAATAAAGTTAATTGCTGTATTGAATCACCAATAATAACTTTCAATGATAAATCAAAACCTTTTCCAGAAAAACTATTCTCAAAAAGAACATCTTTTCAAATTCAAGAATCAGCTGTTGAAATTGTACGTTGATTTTGAAAATAAATGAATAAAAATAACGTTTTAATAATTCTTAGGATCTTAAGTGTATTTGTATGAAATTTAATGGTCTACAGGATAAATGTGAGCATCCAGATTGTAAAAATAAAACAGAATGTCTTAAATGGCCATCTCCAATATGCTTACCTGCCCAAAATTGGAAGAAATATTACTACGAGTAGTTTTTAAAACACAAAAAAATTTATTTAAGTTACACAAGTATTACAATAAATATAAATTAATAAAATTATTAATCAAAAATCATTTTTTTTTTCTTTATTGAGCATTCGATCCAAATCAATAGGTCTTCTGAATCTTTCCCGTAAGATGATTGATTTATATCCACCAAGTTTGTAATATTCTTTATACCAAGGAACTAATGGTATATATCCATTAGGTAATTTAATAGCATTATCAGTCAATACTGTAATATTTTTCCAAGGTAAAATGGGATTAATGAAAACACAAGCATATTCGTTTTTTATACTATGTTTATAAATCCTTAAAACATACTTGGAAATAAAACTATAAGATGCTAATTTGAGTGAAAACATGATTATAAGTATAACACTCACTTCAAAAGCACTATGTGGTATTAATAAAACTTTAAAATATGTATCTAAATCAATAGATTTTTCAGTTAAAAAGATGTAAAAATATGCTCCAATAAAGGACGTTGGCAAAATTATCAAGGCACTAATAACTATTCCACTAAGCCATCGGACATAGTTTTCTCCTGTTCCATTATAAATGAGTTCATATTCTGAAGGAGATATGTTATCCTTTGCAGCTTTTTTTTGGTAGGTATCATATATTGGATTTAGGCCCACTTTTTTCATAAAAGAACGCTTTGTTATGAGCGATTTGTTCAACCACATACCTGATGACACATATTTACTAGATGGATAAAATGAAATCTGTGACTTAAGGAAATATATTCTGCAATACGTTTTTAACGTAGCCATAACAGGTTTACTTCGAATACAACTTAATAGGCTCATATTAAATAAAAATCGTATTAACTATGATCAATACAAAAAAAAAGTTTTAAAATCATTTAAATAATTTATATTATTATAAAAACATTACAGTAAAACTTTACTTACTTTTATCACTAAGAACAAATATGATAACAATATATGATGTTTTATCACAAATTTAAATAATATATAACTAGACTATCTTTTCATAAAATTGTGGTTTAAATTAAATTCAAATCATATAATTTACGAACTAATAATTTAGTTTTCTTTTCAAGATAAGATTTATGTATTCAATATAGATTAATGATATTGTATTAATTAACACTGAGAATCATATATTCAATTTCAATTCAATGATGTAGCGTCGTCTCTGGTGGTTCCTGGATCAGTGATCATATAACAACAATATAAATCAAATTCTTTTACCTATAGATGAAATTTATGTCAAAAATTTGACATAAAAATGATGATTATGTATATGTCCATAAAATTTAGGGTAAACTTGATTTTATCCTAGCATTGACACTTAAAATGGTAATTAATTTTGGTGAAACATACTAGTTCTCTTATAGGTTAAAAATATAGTAGGCTTAGTTAATCATCAACTACTATTGACTGAGTACAAACTTCTTAGAATTCTGTTAAACATCTTATAAGGAATAAATACAAAGAATATTATATGTAAATATAGTACAAATAATATGAATATATATTTTATTTAACACACATACTTTTTTTATGTTAAAAATTATTAATACAAATAAAAGTATACATTTATTTTAATATTAAGAAAATATATAATATAATTTTCAGATATTAGTAACTTGTAAAATAGTAACATAAGTGAAATAATGTAAAGTACCACACAATATATTTACAAACTAAAAAATAAAAAAAAATGTTTTAGCATTAATGGGTTCATCATTTTCCAAATAAGTCTTCCAAAAATAAAAAATTAAACACATATTATATATATAAAAAAAAAAAAAAAATTAAACAATAAATTAATGGTAGGAAATTAACACAGTTATTTTTCAATATAAATCAAGTTTACGACACTTACAGCTAACATATTAATGATAACANAAGATTATATTATTCATAATATTGTTCATACATATAACCACTATTATTTATTATAGCCAATTTCGTTGCCTGAAAATTTTATATTTTTTAAGTATTAATTATACTAAAATAGAAGTGATTATAAATAATGCTCAAATGCCAAAATTAAATATGCTTTTTAAATAAACTATAAAAATATTTTATGATGCAAATATAACAGAGAAAGCAAATACTTATATATATACACATACACACACACATACAGTGTTTAAAAAGTAAAGAAACAGGTCATTTTTTACAAACAATGAGAATAATAAACAATGGAATCCGATTTCTTTACATACCGAATACCTATGTATATATAGGTAATCCATAATATTTTAACAAATTAATTTTTATTAAAATAATTTCTACAGTTATGGACTATGATAAAAGCATATTTTTATTATTTGCCTTCAATGAAGAAGTTAGCTTTATGTTTTTGGGGGGGGGACTTTTATTATGGTGAATAATATCTAAAAAGTAATTTATACAAAATAATATAATACTTATTCAATTGAAAGTTAAACTCAATAATCCAAGATGAAAAATAAGCAGTTAAATAAAAGCAAACTATAAAACATTTAAATGTTGATAAAGAAAATTTATAGCACTGTGTAATTTTTTATTTTTAGTCAAGATTATATTAAATTAAGCAGTTGTAAACAATTTACAAAGAATTAATGCAATAGTTAATACCTCATGGTCAATGTGGGTTTTTGATTTTTAAGATTAATCAACATATTTGTATCTTTTGAGTTTATCCTTGATTTTACTGTAAAATTAAAAATGTGGATTATAATTTTTATCTAAGAACTTAATGTACTTGTACTAAATCAACCATTAAAATATTAAAACAGGAATATATATATCAAAGTTTAGAAGTTTTATCCTAAGTTTAGAATAGGCAAAATGAATAAATTAATATAACCCATATCAAATTTAACTACAGAGGATTAAAGAATGGTAATATTTTGTTAATGGAATATTTTCATGCTTGAGACTGTATAAAATATCATCCTTGTGAAAAAAGCAAAAATATTAACTTGCATCACTATAATTTTTAATTAACTACTTAAAAATAAACTATACATTGTATTTGAAACAGATATATTGGATTTTTATGTATTTAAAACATAAATATTTAATACATTGTATATAAAATTTTAATAAAAATTGTATATAGTTAATAAAAACATAAAATAGCAACACAATATTTTAATTCACAGATTTTTTACTATATATATATAAATTACTTTAATGTTAGCCACTCAATTTCTCTAAAAATATTAAGTTTTTTTTTAAATGTTTTGGGGATTTTGTTAGTTACATATATATTTATATTTATCTGTTATAAATATCTATCAGGTTCATTTTTATATCTTATGGGGCTATGAACTTAATTTTTTTTTAAATAGCAACATACACATTAAACTTCTTTTTAAAAGAAAATGATACACAATTTAATGTGTATGTTGCTATTAAAAAAAAAATGAAGTTCATAACCCCATAAGATATAAGGATGAACCTGGTAATTATTTATAACACACACATATATATATATAAATATATATTTAATAACCTTTAATTTAAATATCTACATTTTATTAAAGAGAATTATAAAAATGTCATAAAAATAATATATAATTGTATTACATCACAAAGCATATTCACACAATTAATGAGCAAATGAATAATGGGTATTAAAAAATTAAAAACTGAATAATAACTAAACACCAGTTAAACTTTAAAGTGAACTATTAATTACAAATTATTTCATTAAGAGCTTTCTTTAACACCTCCTCTTGTACTTTTGAACTGTAAATATTTTATTTTTACATAGTAGTGTTCAAGTAATCATATAATCATATAATGTGATTACATAATTAAATTAATTATAGATAAAAATAAAATATGTATATATTAAGATACTTATTAAAGAAATATTGGTTAATTTTAAGTTTTTTTTGGTAAAAAAATTTGCGGAAAACCATATTACTTAAGATATAATAAAAATAATTTTTCAAATTTTTACATTAGAGATAGTTTACTCAATCACTATAGAATTATGATTATGTTGCAACTACTATGTATGGATTTTTATGATAAAGGAAACAATACAAGCTATGAGTAACAGCAGATGCTATGATGCAACATGAAAATATATAATATAATCAATAATCCTTATGATTCACTTACCAGATTTAGCAGAGAGAACATTAGAAGAAATTGCTCTGGTTTTAGTAACTGTCTTTGCGAGGATCGGATCAGCTAAAGTCTTAGTGGCTGCCATTAAAAGAGGAAAATTTTCTTGATTAATATTTCTGGCTACATGTCCTGTTTTGTGATTATTTAGAACCACTCGTTTTCTTTGTATAGTTGGCTTAGTTATAGATTTTGTCAAACACCGAGTATCAATAGGGGGTTTACTTCGATGAGGTGTAGTTGTAGCTTGGCGTTTATTAGTATTTAATGCAGCATCTGCATTTTGTTTTAATACAAAAGTATTATTTAAACTTTCAGCTTGATTTGAAATCACAACAGTTTCATTAGCACTAGTTTCTGGAGATATCTCCATTTTTACATTTGAATCTGATTGTATTGTTATATTTTGTAGTTTGTTTTCTATTGTTTGAACAGGACTCTGAAAATAAAAAACTCAATAATATTTATTTTTTATATAACTCATAAATACTTACCATAGCTTCCAATTTTATTATTTTATTCGGTCTCAAAGAGTTTCCTGGTTTTGTACAATTTCTGAGATTGTCAATACTAAGTTCAGTTAAATTGAAATAAGCATCTCTATTTATTTTACATTGATTTCCTGGGGAGAAATCCCAACTAACTGCTTTTAAACCACCCAAAAATGATTTTGTCATATTCTAAAGTATAAATTTATATTTTTCTAAGTTATTCAAAATAGCTTTTTTTTTATTTAGTAATACTAACTGAATGACTTTTTTTCATTTCTTCTGTAGCTTTATTGTGAGCTTCCAAAAGTGAATAGTATTCATTAGTTTTTTCAGCAAACATTTTGTTGAGTTCTTGACTGATATGAAAATTGCTATCTAAAATCATACCTATTTCATTTCTATGTTCAAGAAGAGTATTTTTTTCTTCAATAACAATCTATAAAAAATGTGTATTGTATAATACAAATTTGGTAAACTAAATTAATAAAATTAAAATATTTATATTAAACTATTACCATTGCATCATAGCTAGTTATGTCAACATCTAAAAATTGTTTTACGTTATCTTCTTCCAGTTTCTTTAAGAACGTCTGTAGTTCATTATTTGTCGCTAGAGCTTCATCCCATAGGATATTTAATTGAGCATTTATACTAGCCATACGTCCTTCAAACTGCTGTATAGCCATGTTAATTCGATTTAATTCATTGACCTAACAAATTAAAGTATTTTTTAAATTAAATATAAAGTTATATTTATTTTATGTGTCCTTACCATTTCTTCTCCATTTTGAGAGTCAAACAATGAATAACGTTCAATTAAACTCTTTTTTAAGAATATTCTAAGTTCAGTTTTTTTTTGAGCTGATTCTAAGCGTAAAATTTCTACATGTTTTTTTAATTTTGCAGTAAATAGTGTTTCTAAAGTATTCTTTAAATCTTCTAAATTATCTGGAGGCAAAGGTGATTTAGATTTTAGAACATCTTCATACCTAGTTTTTAGTTTTTGAACTTCATCTTCCAGCCCAGATATAATTTTTAAATAATGAGCAGGAGGATGATTGACTGACAACACATTTTCCTTTAACTAAAAAAATTATACACAATTATAAATTGTAATTAAAAATGAAATATAAAAACTAACATTGGACTTGATTTTCATAGCTCTAGCAGCATACTTCAGTGTATTATGAGTATCTTCATAGGAAGAGACTTCTGGAGATACACAAGATATCATTAGTGTTTTACAATTTCCACCAAGTGAATCTTTTAGAAGTCTTGTCAATTTAGAATCACGGTATGGAATATGTCGCAAACCATCAGATAAATTATTAATACAATTTCCTACAAAAATGTTTTATATCACAAATAATATAATTAACAAAATAATAAATATCTGTTTATTTACCAAGAGCTAGTAATGATTTATTAATATTAGAACCTTCTTTGAAACGCATTCCTTTATTTGAAGATGCCCTTTCTGATCCAGCTAGATCAACCATTGAAAGTTTTGCCATTTTTACTTGATCTGTATGTTTATATGTCATCTGTATATAGACTTGAAACAAAGCATGTGATCTAGATGATTCAGCGTTTGCATCTGTTGGGTGTTGTGTGCGGTTATCATTACCTCTCCTTAACATTTCAATAAGTTCATCAACATTATTCACCATTTTTATAGAAATGCCAGCTACAGAAGTAGTATTTCCACATTCACGTAAAAACAATGGTTTTTTTTCATTTACTAATAAATCATATACCATTTCATTATATACCTATAAATTTTTATTTTCAATGAAAATATTTAGCACGTTAAAATTATATTATAATATATTACTTCAAGATATGAAACATAGATTTCAAACTTTTTTGTTTCTTGTTGTTCATTTACTTTTTCATATAAATCTTTCATAGTTAAATAAGTTATGCCATAATTAGAATCATTACCCAACATAGTAAAGGTTTTTCCAGCACCTGTTGCTCCATAAACGAACACTGAAGGAAAATAAATCATTTTACTTATGAGAATAACTGCACGCATAAAATATTTTCATTATAAATTCAACTCAAAAAAATTAAAACAAGCAGCAAATTAACCTGGTTATATTCTAAGAAAATTAAATTTTTTATCAACTAAAATTAGACTAAAAAGTACATAGGTTCAAGATTATATTATGTGTTACAAATACACACAAAAAAAAAAATTGGGAATAAATATTTATTTTTACCAGAACAATTATATCCATTTAAAAGCTTGTCTAAGAGATCTTTAGTACTTTCATTATATATATCTTCATTTGTACTTTCTGGTCCAAATACTCTATGAAAATCATACTTGATGGATTTATGTTGTTTTTTTGAGATATCGCGTGGATTTTGTTTTACACCATGGAAAAAAAAAGGTGTTTCATCTTGCTTAGGGTCAAATATTAAAGCATATTCATTCCTTACTTTAATAGTTTTCCTGAAAAATAATATCACGAAATTTAAGTTTTTATAAAAAATAATGTTGAAATTAAACTTGAAAAATATTTTTTAAAGTTTAAATGATTATTTTAGAGTTTAATACTTTATTAAACTTAAACAAACATTTTTTAGTATTACTCATACAGTTTAAAAGATTTTTTTATTCTATAAAATAATATATTTTATATATTTATAGACACAGAATAAAAAAGTAATTTCATACTATATATGGGAAATTGGTTAATAATTCTTTATGGAATATAATCTTATTTGTTGAAAGATTTTTCACAAAAATATATTAAAAAGTAAAATTTTTATCTTATTAGGTTATAGTATATAAAAATAACAAAAAAACATAGTTAAGAAATAAAATAAATAATTATGATTGTAGATCAAAATTGGTATTTTATCTTTAATGAATCATTATACACATGGGTTATGAGAAAATTTCATACAAACCTCAAAATACTACAACTATTCCTTGGTTTTAAATGTATGACAACCATAACTTTTATGATTGAAAATTTCTATGGAACAGCTAGGTTAGTCTATTGTTAAATATTTTTCAAGAGGAGCAATTTGTTGAACATTTTTTTTTTTAATTTCATTAGCATTGTTAAACGGTTTTTTTTTTTAGAATTCTATGCATATAATCTGAATATAAAATTAATTTTTCTATGTAGAAAAATAATTTTTATCCATAAATTATTTTTATATAGTAAATATAAGTGAACTTTTTGATTGTTTTACTGAGTTCCTCAATTTATCTAACTTTAAATTTTATTAACATACTTAATTAACAGAGTATGAAATTGTAAAACAAAAGAAAATGCATAAAAAAAAAAATTTAAATACAATTAAATTTAATTATTAAATGAAAACAAAAATAATTTTCTAAAATATTTTATTGAATTAAAAAAGAGAAGAATAATTTTTTTTATTTTGTAAATTATTTAAATTTCCACTGACAAAATCAGTTCTATTCAAGCTGTGCTTATAGTTATACACATGAAATAGTAAAAGCATAAGGTGGCTACACTGAACAGTATCAATAAATTATGTTTAACATTATACATTTTCATACTCAGTAATTTTAAATATTTTTACTAATGTAAAAAATTAATTTTTAGGAAATAAATCCAAATGTATGAAAGAAACAAATAAAATAGCAACATCACAACTTTATTTAGATCTGTTTTAAATTGTGTTATTTTCAATATTATAAAATTGAGCTTTGTGTATTATGAACTTCTGCAGAAAATTTCTCAGTGAAGAATTGCATTTTTTCGTGAGATTACTACAATTTAAGTATGCTAAAAAAATTCATTCTATGACAGTCTTTGATAAAAGGGCAAAAATTATTCAAAAGCAACGAGCAGCAATTGCAGAAGATAGCTCTGTATATGAATATTTGAAGGAAGAGGTAGGGTATCGATTATCCGATCGTCTATTTGATATAAAACGTCAATTTGATTGTGTTGTTGACTTAGGATGTGGTTATGGACATGTGTCTAAACACATATCTAAAGATAATGTAAAAGAACTTATTATGTGCGATGTTTGCCAAGAAATTTTAGATAAAGCTCAGACTCCTGAATCAGAGGTCAAGGTAAGTAAAATTGTAGTAGATGATGAAAAACTACCATTCAAGGAAAATAGTATTGATTTATTATTAAGTAGTCTATCCCTCCATTGGATTAATGATTTACCATCAACATTTATGCAAATAAAAAATTGTTTAAAAAATGATGGAGTATTTTTGGGAGCTATGTTTGCTGGTGATACGTTGTTTGAATTAAGATCTTCTTTACAATTAGCAGGAATTGAAAGAGATGGAGGTGTAACACCAAGAATATCACCATTTGTTAGACTGCAAGATGTTGGATCATTAATGCAAAATGCAGGATTCTCAATGTTAACATTAGATACAGATGAACTAGTTATTAGATATCCATCTATGTTTGAGCTAATGTGGGACTTAAAAGGCATGGGCGAAAATAATGTAGTTTTAAAAAGACCGTTAAGACTGAACAAGAACACTATGTTTGCTGCAGCATCTCTTTATGATAAACTATATAGATCTACAAGTGATAGTAAAGATCATGAAGGAATCCCTGCTACATTTCAGATAATGTACATGATAGGATGGAAACCTGATCCCTCACAACCAAAACCATCACCAAGAGGCTCTGGACAGATATCAATCAAAGATATTGACCAACTAGATAAGGTTGTTAAGAACTTAGGAAAATTTAAAACTTAAATTTATATCATAATTTTTTTTTTCATTATTTGTTATCTAAGAATGTTATTTAAATTCATAAGAAAATGTTTAATGTAATAAAAAATAAATTAATTTTACTATCATTATATATTAACTCAATTAAATAAAATGAAGTTTTATTTTTAGATGATTATTATTCTTTCAAACTCATATATATATATATATATATATAGTGTGATTCTTTTAATATTAGCCACTCAATTTCTCACACAAAAATATTTATTTTCAGAAAATTTTTCTTGGTATTTACAAATTCTATATTTCTTGATTCATTAATTATTACATATTTTTATAATTTATCTGATAATGTTTTAAAGGAGTCAACTTAATTTTTTTAATTGCAACATATATTTAACTAACTAATAAAATAAAAAAATAATCTAATTAAGGAAACAACTGGTCGATAACAACTTTTAACCTATTATTTCAGTATTTATAACTATTTTAAAATATAGTGTACATGAGGTATCGATTATGTTATTTTAATTATGACGTATTTCTCTATGTATATATTTTGTCTATTAATTTATTCAACTATAATAGATAAAAATCATCTAAAATATGTAAAAAAAAACTAAATGTCTTTTTAAAATGTTTAGTTTTAATATGAAGCTATTTAACCATTAAGATAATCATTAAGAGCTGCTAATCCAATGAATTTACTCATTATATAAGAGCCATATTTTCCATTTCAATTCAAAAAATTATAAATATCTTTAACAATATTTTATATCTACAAAGTGTATATAAAATACAATTTAATTATTTCAAAGAAACCTACGGTTTAGGGTTACCATCTTCATAAACTAATGGTTTTATACGAACAAACACTCGCATCTGTTCTTCTTGTGCAGTAGCTTTTCCTCTACCAGGTACAATTTTTTTCAAATTTTCTAAACTTCTTCTATTAAGAACCATTTTCTTGTTTTTTATTCTATAATTATAAAAATTTTACAATTTAACAGACCAATTAAACTTAGTTTAATAATAATTGTGTAGAAATACTATATAATTTAATTGCTGTAAATAAACAACAGAATTTATTTCCTATTAAATTACAATTGTCAATATTTAAATGTCATTTACTTATTCAACTAATAAATTTTTATTTATAATAGATTATCTAATATTATTTCCCTTTAAGTTATAGTTTTAGTTTTAGACTTCTAATAAAATAATATTATCATTATTTAAAGGCTATATCAAAATAAATAAGGGATGAATAATTTAACATTAATAACATTATAGTTTTTTCAATCTGGATAATATCATGAGAATAAAGATTAGGGAATTACCAATTGTTAAGTTCGAAAATAACTGAATTTAAACAGGTATTGTTATATAGTTTAGTAAATAATTAATCAAATTAAATTATTACTAATTACTTACTTACAATGATATACTGTTTTTAAAAAATGTCAAGTTCTGTCATTAAAAAAAAATTAAACTTTATATAGTTGATATATTTTGGCTTGCAATCAAATAACATCGTCCATAGATAAAAACTGTTAGCTTATTTAATTCATTACTCCACTTATGGCCTAAGTTTTTTCACAATTGTCTACTCAAAATTCACAATAAAATACAAATAACTATTATTCCACAATTTAACACGTTTAATTTGTCAAATTAATAATTTTAGTTCTTTTTTTAGTTCAACAGAACTCGATCATAACAATTAATATCTGCCGCACGATTGGATACAGGTATAGGTGTATCAATATTGTACTACATGTCATGTAGTACATGACAATGACTTCAGTATACGAACGTTAAAAAATACGTTAAATTTGAAAACACTTGTATTCATTATTATATGTACAATACAGAAATGTGATAACAGACGTACCAACAACGTAAAGTAACAGAACCACCAACCAAAATATGGATAAATCTGCTTAAATACAGCCATTAATGATTAGAAATTAGGTGAATGATAATGCGCAATCGGATAAATTTTTTGATACGCCTATTTTTATATGTAAAGAGAACTTAAAAATAAAGGTATCTAATTCTATAAACTAATTATTTGTAGTTTTTATGAGTAATCGGAATGAATGCTAATTTTGATGTTCTGATATTGTAATTTATCGCTGTTTTGTATCTATTCTCTCTCTTCTATTTTAACTTAAACCATGAAAGTTTGCACTATGTTAGCTGTTGAACATTTTAGTAGAAAATATAAAATATTATGAATATTATTTAAAATATAAAACAGTAATTTTTCTTCTATGTTATTTTTTTTTAAATATCAATGACATGAACTAAGTTTTTTGTTTTGAATAGTAAGTATAAATAACTAATTTAGATAATCATTTTGTTTCTTACAATTTATTTAATGTCTAAAAAATGTCAATATTACATAAATTTGGACTTATCAAAAAAAAAATGTTTCCAATTAAATGTGATTTAATGTTAATTTATCAAAAGAATTCTTCAGAATATACAAAAAAGTGTAAACCTTCTAGGATGAGTTTTAGATTAGTACCAATATATTATACCTTTTTGATCAAATTTGTTATACATATAGTAATTGATCATAGTTACCTAATTTTAATTAGTATATAAATCTAAAATGGAATTCGTCTACATAAAACTTAATTTTTATTAATTCTGTATCATACTAAATTAAGCACTTTTTAATACCTTAGTATACTCAGCATAAATAGATATACTATGTTAAAAATGTATAATTTTTATCTGTTATAGATGTTTAACAATAGAAAATAGTATTATATTCTGGGATTACATTATGAAAACAGCTATTTTATTATTGGATAAGTATAATCTGGCAATAAGTGCCATTTTAATTGTTATTATGCAAATAATATTTTTCACTATAGCTGTGACATTACAATATGACAAAGTTGCTGATTTTGCTGGTGGTATAAGTTTTATTTTAGTTGCTCTATTAACATATGGACTAGCTCAAGTAAAATAGTATTAAAAGTTAAGTTAAAACTTTTATTTTAATATACATTTTTGTTAGACACATGATAGCCGTCAATTTATGGTAACATTATTTGTTGTTATTTGGGGTATTCGCTTAAGTTCATACTTATTTTATCGAATATTAAAAATTGGAAGAGATGCTACATTTTCTGATAAATGCAGTAATATGATACGTTTTGCTGTATTTTGGACTTTTCAAGTAATTTTTACTTTATGATATTTAGATACTTAACAAACAAATCATTTTAGTATATATTTTATTCAATTCCTTTTTAAGTTAATAATTTTTAAATTGCTATTGTTTTAGGCAATATGGGTTCTTATTGTCAGCTTACCAGTCATTGTTATAAACGCAGCTCATAATTCAATAAAAGTTGGTGCTCCTAAAACTATGACTACTCTTGATACTGTTGGTTGTTGTGTATTCATTTTTGGCTTTATCATAGAAACTTTTGCTGATTTACAAAAGTATGCATTTAGAAGTGAAGAAACAAATAAAGGCAAATGGTGTGATGATGGTAAGATACTAATTGATATGAAAAAAAAATGTATCAATAGCTTATTATATAATAAAATGTTGAAAAATTAAGCAATGCTGGAAAAATTACTTACACTGTCTGATTTTCGTAATTTTTTTTAATAAAAAAATTTTATAGGTAAATTATTTGCAATGATGAAAAAAAATTGTTTTTTAAGTCCACAAGCATAGTTTTTTTGCAAGATATGATTTTGGTTTGTGCATGTCAATTTTGACATCCTTCATTGTGCCACTTGATCTCTATACATATCATAATCAGCTCATTTTTGTCTTTGTATAATGTCTTCTTCCAAAGAATTTTTAATTTCATTATTTGATTTTATTTTGTATTTTGTCAAACAGTTAATATTGAGTTTTAGATGTAACAATACTAGACTTTTTGTATTTTACATTACTTTTTTAGAGCGTAATGATAACAAACTACTACTAAACGTCATATTGTGACATGTGACATTAAAAAGAGTGAGGGATATTTAATATAGTATTAAATTACTCAATATAAAATTTAAAGTTTAAGTACAATAATTATAAGTTTTAATTTTTAGGTCTTTGGAGTATGTCACGACATCCAAATTACTTTGGAGAAATTGTTTTGTGGTGGGGTATTTTTATTGTATCATTGAATGTTATAAAAGGAAATGAATTTATTGTGGTTATATCACCCATATTTACAACTTTTATAATACTATTTCTCTCAGGTATACCACATTTAGAACGAATATCAGATCATCGATTTAGAAAGTTTGTGTTCTTATATTTTATCATTGTATATCATTTTATCATATAATATATATTGAAATTTTATGATTTTAGTAATATAAATTATCAGTTGTACAAACGATCAACATCTCCTCTTATACCAATACCACCATCATTTTACATTGGAGTACCTGGTTTTATAAAAATGTTATGTTGTTGTGAACTTCCTTTATATAATTGGATGAAAGCTCATCATACAGATCCACCTGAAGCAGCACCAGCTCCAAAATCTTCCTAGCAAAAAAAGGGAGCGGGTGTTACTATGGTAGAAATTACAAACCGCTCCCAAGAAATTCCAAAATATTCATCATCTACTACATATGTCTAATAATAAATTTCTAGAAATAGGTAAAAAATGTATGTAAAATTAGTTCATTTTTTTCTTATTAAGAAATTATTGATTTATAAAATTTAATAATAATCTATTTAATGAGAAAACTTTTGTTCTACACATTATTTTGAACAGTAATATGCTCTAAAGAAATAATAGATAGTTATTATAATTTATAATTGTATAACTAATTTTAAAAATTAACAAAATAAACTTAAAAATATTAGATCATTTACCAATTTTAATAAATCAATATAAATATTATTCTAATTCAAAAATGTTGGTTTACTAAACAGTATCATGATTTTTTTTTTCAATTAAATAATCTCAAATGAATAAAAAATAATAATAATTTAATACAATTAATTGCACAATATATTGATTGTAATTTTTTTTTTTAATTGCAATAATTAAAAGTATTATTAGATTATTAACAAAAAAATACATATCTTATTCATGTAAGAATAAATCTACTATTTATTTTTATTGAATCAACTTTCTTAGGTGCTAGGCGTACTATATTAAATATTTATATTAGTGCAAACAAGAACTTTTTTGTTGTTACCAAACTTATAATCTAATTTATACGCATATTTTTTAATTTAATATAACATATAGTGTAAGTAATAACTCATTCTATTAATTCTTTAATATTTCAATTAAACCAATTATATTTTCATTGTATTTAGATTTCTGTTTATGCTAATACTTTTTATTTTGTTTATATTATAGAAAAAACATTTTTCTTAAATAAGGAATACATTTTTGGTGTAAAGGTAGTTATCACACTAATATAAATTAAACTAAATAAATATTCATAGATTGCACTATACTATCAATAATAAGAGAATAAAATGAATTTGAGAATATAAAGACAAATTAATTTATTTTGTACTTAATTAAGCTTATATTTTCTTGTAATTGTAGCTCAAATATTTCTAGTCATAGTACGAATAGTAAAAGGTCAATTTGTGATATTAGTTTTATTTTTGATCTGTGATTTCATAAATCACATTCTTTCTATTATTAATTTAAAAATTAAAATGAGCTTCTTCAATTTTTAATTAGATAGTGTTTTTATTAACCAACTACTACTTGTAAAATTATTCATTATATTATACATATTAAAAATGTATGTTTCTAATTATTTTAACTATTTTTCTAGTCAATGTCTTTTTGTAATTTTTATTATGTTTCACTGATTTTTATTTGTTATAAATTGTGAAGAATGTATGAATCTGGTTGTTTGTATGTATTCAAAGAAAATTATGATTTTATTACAGGGACCAAGTAAATTGGCAAATTATAATATTTTATTTATTTAATATTTAAAAAATAATTTACCTCCTTTTAAATGCATGTTTTCTACCAATAGAAATAATCTCACAATTCTTTATGATTATGTTAAATTTTTCCTAATTTAATTTATCTTACAAAATGAATACTTATAATGTTTTTTATCATTTATTATTTCATTTATATTTATTATTAATATTTCTTTAAAACACAATATTAAAAAAGTCAAATAACACTGAAAATATAAGCAAATTTCATGTTAACAATTTCTAAGAATATATCTTCAACATTATATATAATATAATTAATCTTTTTTCCCCTGTATTTGTAAATCATCTATTCCTTATCATATAATTGAACTGAATTGTATTATAATAAAAATGAATCATATCATATATATATAGTAGAAATAATAAGAATAGTACAGTAATAGTTAATGTTTAATAAGTTATAGATATAGGGTTTAATATTGCTAGTATTGATATATAAAAGTTAAGTTAATACTATATTTCTTTTTAATAGAAAAAATATTGGAAATTTACTAACATCACAGTAATATCTTTTTTTTTTTATTTATATATTTTTATTATTATTATTCAGTTAAATTAATATTAAAATTTTTAGCTTCAATGCAAAGCTGAGAAGTTATACATTTTACAAATGTATATTTAAAAACTTAAACATCTGGATTTAAATGCTTCTGATTATTATTAGATGACAAAAGTATAGAAATATATTGATTCTTTTAAGATTTGTTAGAACTTGTTTTTAATATAATGTAAATCCGAAATAGTTAATTTTATTAACAACATTACATATTTTTAATTATTATTTCTTTTTTTTTTAATTTATTAAGGCTTTGACAACTGAGATCTTTAATTTTTTTTTTTAATAGCTTATAATGAATATTAGATTTATCAATATATGATCTCTAAAACCTTGAGACAATTTGATATGTGAATGATGACTCAAGCTTTTTCATAGTACTGATGATATCATCCGCAAATGTAGGTCTAATTAAGTTTATAGTTATTCAATCTGGAGTGGTGGAAACACTTTTAAAGTTTCTTTTTTATCTAAGTTAATTTAATATGGTTTAATTCTGTTTTTATTTTCATAGTGTTAATATTATGATAATTTAACATATCATTCCACAAAAATTGGATTTTGTCATTTTTAAAGGGATATTAAACAATTTTTAAATTAAGTTTTATATTAAAAACGTTCATCTCAAATATTAAGAAAAAATAATACCATAAATATTACACTATACACCCTATCGAAGGTAATTGGTTATTAGTGCTGTCTAGAATTTGAAAAAATTTTGAGCGTGTTAAAATATTTTTTAGACTATTTACTTAATCTAAGAGACTTGATTATTACTTTTCTATTGTAATGCTCAAGTGTTGGAATATAATAAATATAAATAAAGTAATACATTTTTTTAAGATTTTTAATAACGATCAAAAAAGTAATAAAATAAGATCAGTTAATAATAACAAATGAAATATTATATCTATGAATACTATTTAAATTAATAAAAATTATTTAAATGAATATTATACTGATATTAGTGATTATTTTTATTTTCTAAATTTTGATTAACTAAGAACATTTCTTTAAATTTTCGACTTATCTACTGATATAAGACTTAATATATTTTTGGTGCAATAACCAAAATTTTAAGTGGATAAACCCACTTAAGTGGCTTTTTTATCTATTAGACTCTGTACTTAGGGTCAAACTTATTATGAAGACTTTTTTTTTTTGCTTTTTATGCAAGTAATATAGTTGGGATAAGTATATCATAAGAAACGATTCGATACGAATCCTTAAATAGTGTTTAATTTTATAAAATTGGTGGATTATTCCAAAAGCAAAAATAACTCCTATTTTGTTTTACTTCGACTGCCGTTAGCACATAGAAGATTAGTCGTCGGGACATATTTTTTTTAATTTATTGTACGAAACATAAGTTTTAATTTAACATATATTTTAAGGATGCAGTATATTCAGAACATTTTTAAAACTTAAGTTAAAAAAGTGGAGTTTTGTAAAAAAGTTTCTATTTTGAATCCCCCCTGTGGAAAGGTAAAGAGTCAAAATATCATAAAATTTATATCAAATGAAAAGAAAACACGTAAGGTGTTTATACAAAAATTGATTTTGGTTCGTTTATTTTTCAAAAAGTTATGGTAGTTTTAAGTACCAAAATAACATACATTTAAAGGATGCATTTTTTTATATAATTTTATATTATATTATATTATTATTTTATTATAAGGATAATTTTCAAAAATTAAGTAGAAAAAGTTCTACTTTTTATACGTATGTTTCAAGTTTTGAACGCCCTTTGTATAAGAGGGAATTCATCGATTTAAAAAAAAAAAAGTATGTCGGACGAAAGGGGTATATATAATGTATTTAGAAATAAAAATTTGTGTTGATCTATACATTTTTCAAAAAATTATATCAATTTAAAGTTGAAAATTTTAACATCAAAATATCATTTTTTTAACTACGGCAGCCGTTTGCACGTAGAAGTTAAGTCGTCGGAACATTTTTTTTTTTAATTTAAAGAACGTAATATAAGCTTTAATATGACATATGTTTAAAAAACATAGTATTTCCGGAACATTTTTAAAAGTTAAGTTGAAAAATTGGAGTTTTGTAAAATGCTATTTTGAATCTCGCATTGTGAACAGGTAAAGGGTTTGATTTTCAAAAATATTATATCAAATAAAAGGGAATTACTTTTGGTTTTAATAAAAAAAAAGTTATGTTTATTTTTTCAAATATTTTTAGAAATGGTAAGAATTACCATTATTATGGTAAGAAAGTAGGCATTTATTTTACCCAACAAACTGACTACGTTGTTTTTATAAATCTGTATAATACAACGGACAGAGCGTGAAAATTGTTCCTAACGCTTACTTATACAACGTTACCAATTTGCTTATTAACGTATCTTTTATTTAAATTTGTCGCTCTTATTACTAAATGTTTGTATTAAATTTCTCAAATATTTGTCAATCGAATTGAATATTATCAATGAATTTGTCACCGTTTTATCTACTAAAAAAAGTTGTGCGAATTTGTCGCTTATATATGCTAAAATTATTGCTATTAATAGACGTCCGTTTGGATTAGTTTTCTATTTGTTATTATATATAAATTGTAATTATAAAATGTACGTTGTTTATTATGTCGGCTTAGTCAATTTTTGGTACGAGTTATTCATATACCTTTTTTACTATTATAGTCTTTCTATTTTGTTTTTTTTGTAGAAATAATTATATTAAATAATTGTTTTTATGTTTGACGGAAGTTTTAAATTTTATTTTAAACTAATTAATAATGTAATTTAAATTATTTAAATTATAGTTGAAAAGCAATCTACTTAAGATAACCAATCCTCAAAAAAAAAAAAAATCAACAAATCTGACATTTCATGGTAGACGACAATTTTATTATTATTAATATCTTTTAATTTCAATTCTTAACTATAATATAAATAAATGTTTGGTCTCCTTGTAATATATTGATTTAAATTTTTGCTAAAAAATAATTGTTTATCTTTAATTAAATTAGTCAATTTTTTATGTTTTAAAGCTTGTCCAAGATAATTTTTTTGACCATTTTATAAGCAATTGCAAAATCTAACGAATATTTATATTAAATAATTTTCAACATTTTTATTATAATTTTATTGCATTAAAAAAATTTAAATATTATATACAGTGAAAGTTATAATTTCTAACTATTGTGTTATAATTAATATACTTTGATATTAAAACTTTACCACGTTTTGTGTATTTTGTGAAACGCGCGTTAAACAATCAATAATATTTTAGTAGGTTTAAAAACTATTTAATAATACCTAGTAATATGTATGCAGTTGGTACTTAGTTAAGATATATTAAGTTAAGTTACATTAGATATAATTGAAATTGTTGGGGAATTAATTATTTAAATTTTAGCCCATTGTAAACTGTTTCTTTTCGTTTGAGAATAGAGAATAAAAGTTATCTTATATCTTTTTATGCAGCTATCTACGATACATCATTTTTAATTTAAAGTAATCTGTTAGTATTTAGTAAATCCGGCTTTAAACATTTTTTCTTAAGTATTTTTTTATTTTAAAAACTTATGTTTTATGAACTCAGGACTCAATTTTGGCTATTAACCGTCTATTCCTAACATATCTAAAATTAAATTTTTTTATAAGTTTAATTTTAATTTCATATTAGTATGCCAAATTTAATTAATTAGGCGTTTAAATTCAAATATATAATATCAATTATATTATTTATTCAAACCACACGAAACATAATAATATTTGTATTGATACTGTAGTATTCCACATAATTGTAAAATAGCGATAAGGCCTACCGGTTATTGTGTTATAGTCAGTGTGTGTTTTCAGTATCATTTTTTAAAGGTCACTTAAATTTTTTTTTTTTTTAGCAAAACATTAATATCATACTTAAGGGTTTTAATACCCTCCTTTTTGTGGAGGGTATGTGCCTCCTCAGAGACGGTGCTCATATTATTCAATATGCGCCACTTCCTATAGGTAATATTACAAAAGATTATAGTTACTACAATAAAAAATATCAACATTTATTTTAGGCAACTTATTCTATAACTTAGAATATGGTAAGATGTTAGTAATATTCCCTCATAATGATGACAACAATAAAGAAGATGAATTAAATGGTCAATTAAATGATTCATTTTCAGACATGAATTATCAATGGCATAATTATTTTTTATATGTATAAAACTAAAATATTCATATTTATATATCAATGTAATCGTATAACAATTAATAATAAATAATGACTAATTTTATTTATAGAGTAAAAATCCTGTAAAACATACGATTTTTAGGGAAATACTCGTTTATTCTAGGTAAATGCAGTATGTACAGTTCAAATATTATCGAGCGCAAAATTTTTTTTTTTCATAGTATAGCTAATAACTTGCTCTACAAGCCACATGTATGGATTAACGTGTAATTTTGCGTAATTTTTAGTTAATCTTTTTAAACGAGCAAACTAGAGAAAAAAACGAAAAAATTCGATTTTTTTAAAGTATAAATTTGTTAAATTCCACAAAAATAAAAAAAAAACTTTTTTTTTTCTTTTTCATTTGAAAAAGGATATCTTTTTTAATAGGAATAAAAATTTTTTTTAATTTTAAATTATGTTTTAAGGCATAAAAAAAATGTACAAAAATAAACTCAAAATTACTGAAAATACGGATAAATTTTAGAAGTATAACATTAAAATAGCTCTATACCTTCACTAAATCAACTTATGCCTTGAAAATTTGTATTAAAACCCTTAAGTATGATATTAATGTGTTTTGCTAAAAAAAAAATTGAAGTGACTTTTAAAAAATGATACTTTTGGCCGCCTAAATCGGCGTTTCATTCCACTGTGTGTCGGCCCGCAGCGTCAGGTGATCGGTTTTTTGTCCGTTTAATCGACTGTCGGTTAATTGTCGTATCAATAAATTATAATTATTTAATGTAGGTACTATAATTGTGTCATTATTTCATTTTCCTACAATACTAGTGTCCTAACATTTTTACTAAATAATAAAGGAGAAGATTAACTAAAAATGCATGATTTTGGTGACAGTATAACTTGATTAAAGTTGTCCCGCACGAAACAGTTATGCAAAAAAATTTATTTTTGTCGGCTAACATGTGTTAATCCGTATTGGCATTTATAACGTGACGAATTTCCTGTTGGGCTGCAGTAACCGTTGACCCTCAACTTCAACTGCTCTCTCGCGTTTAATCAAAACCAGTTATTTTATACTTATCGACGCACCAGGGTCCATTTAACAGTCGCTTATCTGAATTTATAAAAACATTGTTATTATTGATGGGTGATGGGACTTAAATTATAATTTTACCGTGTTTATTATTACTTAAGAGTTACTCTATGATTTTTATACGTCAATAATAATGCATATATAATGAAAAAATCTATTAATCGAAAATCTGTCAGAAATTTACATGGAGTTTCTTTTTGTAACATTTTGTAGCATTTCGAAACTCAAATTTTTCTTTTTAATTTTTCAATCTAAAATAAAATTTGCTATGTATTCTTAGAGACAAAATGCATTTACAATAACTCAACATCCGCAATGTTAATAATTTACAACATCCGACCAGTATCGTATTTTTTTAATTCAGGGATAAACATTTTTAACTTCAAGTTTTTGCATATACGAAGTTTTTCACGCCTAGTTTAATTTAATGTTTGTCATAAATGATTCTTTGGAAATTGAATTTTTACGAAATGGTAGAAAAATGATAGATGATATAGCGATTTTTGATAAATATGAAATAGCGTTTATTTTACGATTCCCATATCCAATTGTGTTTGATAATCGGTATAAGCAAATGTGTGCACATAGTTTATGAGTAATTTTAAGTAATTACATTTAAATTGCTTATAAATATTTAATGTTAGTCATTTATAGACTAAATATTTATTTTATTTTATTAACAGTCTTTTAACATATTAAATAATTATATCATTGTTATTAAGTGTTATATGCAAAGATAGCATTTTTTTGAGAAAATAAGAGCAATTGTTATTTTAACTGTTATTTTGAAAGTAACAATAACAGTTTGTAACAGTCATTGCTAGTGGCAATCTACCAATTGGCGGAAAAGTTTAGAAAATTATATGTATTGTTATATAAAACATATCTCATAATGGGGGAAATATTAAAACATATAATAAGATCCTCATTTTTTATCTATTTCCGCCTATAGAACTATAGCTTATCGCTCCTCTAGAGTGAGCCTTATTTAATTTTTATCGTGGAAGAACATTCAATGTGCTATAAATACTATAATTATTATAATTTAAGATGCATTTTGTCCTTCTACTTCAACTATGAACATTAATTCAAAACATTAAAAAAAGGTATAAACTCATATCATGTTTAAATTTGGGAGGCGCTAAAATTATAATTAATTTCTACTTAAAATTACTTAAAAAAAATTATTAGTATTATCACCCTTTTATAGGTTCTACATGTTTCGAACAAATCAAATTTTTTGTTTCTTCTGAACATTTTTTAGCCCGGTTGAATAGATTTACGAGGAAGGGTCCATCCCTTGGACTGAAATTTTTATATTGAGTAATATTTAAAAATCCTACAAATTATTTTCATAGTCTTATGTAATACTCTAATATATTTAAATGTACTAAAATTATAAATTTATTTTTTAGAACCCTCTTGAAAGTTGAAAATCTAGCACTGCATGAATATGTGTTTTCTTGTATAATGCAATTCATATTTTATGAATAATATCAAAACAATATATAACAATGCTTGTTTTGTAAATATTAAAATTTCTTGAATAGGTTATGTCCTTGAAGTTAATTTAATGATAGATTCTATAGATATGAATCTTAAATGTATGTTTTTAACTTTTAAATTTGTAATAATTACATAAAATAACAGTCTAACCAATAGTCAACATTTATAAAGTTTCAGAATAGCCAATTATAGATTTCCCAAATCATTCTAATAAAATTATTTAGTCAGTGTTGTACATTATGATGGAGAAGAAAAAAAATGTGCTCTATAGATTAATGAATAAATAAAAATCTATTTCTTTCTTTATGGAATATATTTTTCTTAAAAATTATTTAAGCGTATTCACAAATGAAGGTATTTATATTATTTTTGACAAAACCATTTTACAAAAATTGTTTACCATAATTACCCTATTACAATAATTAACATTGGTACAGATTATTTATGAAAAGATTTTAAAACACAAATCCCACTTTATTATTTTAAACGTAATTTGATTACAAGAAAACATTTTGTGTTATAAAGTTTGAATTCCTTAAATCTCTTAACCTGCCGTTTTGAGGTAATGCTGAACGGTAGTTTTAAATCCGGTTCATACCATCTATTCCACAAAGGGGAATTAAACCCGTCCCTACCCTTTTGATTATATTCAATTTTATGGAATAATAATAAAATAATAAAGATTCGTAAAACCTTCTGTCTCGGTCTTCCTTACTTTTAATTAAGTATGATTGCATTTTCAATAAAAATTAAGAGGACTTCATTATTTACTACTCTTAATTATTTAATTTAGTTAAATCAACAAAATTTCAGGTCTAAAAATGACTTTATCGAAGGATAGACTCTTTTCCGCAAATTGTTTTAAAGTAATGATCATGTTATAATGTATATATAACGAAAATTTCATTGGCATAACCATAGGGGTAATATGGGCGTATTATCCTTACCATGACATTATCATTGTCATGAGAATTGCATATTTATATGGCAAAGATACTATTTTTTCGTTTACTTTTTTAAAAGTTTAAAAACTTAGCAATTTTGTAAAGCAACCATTTTAAATTTATA